CTTTGCTTGATTTGTGAATTCTGAACCATCCTTGCATCCCTGGAATAAATCCCACTTGATTATGGTGTATACTTTTTATATATTGTTAGATTTGGTTTGCTAATATTTTATTGGGGATTTTCACATCTATATTCATCAAAGATTTGGTTGATAATTTTATTATTTTGTAGTGTCTTTGGTTTTGGTCTTAATTTAGTTAACATTCTTATTATGAATGTTTTGCATTTGAAGATCTGATAAGTCATTTACTTCTGTTTCATTGCTTATTTTTTAGGAGTTTTCTCTTGCACTTTCAATTAAAGCTAGTTCCTCTGTGTTTTCATTTTGCCTAACTTTCTCTACCTCTATGAATTTAAGTAACATATTTACCTATTGTGGTCTTGATAGAGTGTCCTTATTTGGGGGCATCAGTATACAGACTGTGTGTGCCCAATGCCTTTGGTGGGAGAGCTGGATTTGACATGGACACAAGTCACAACTTTCCTCAAGATGTGATTGGAGGTGAAAGGAGGTGGACCTGGAGATGGAGGGGCTAAAGCTGGAGCTGAGAGTGAACTAAGGCTTCCCCTCTCCTTAGTGGCCATCACCGCCCTATCAGGGTCAGGGTCTGATCCCAAGTTGCTGGAGCAGAAGCCCCAAGGATCAGGTCTGAGCTGGCTCTTTTCCCTTTAACTGAGTGCTTTCCCTCTCCCAGCACCAGGACTTTTGCCCTGGAGTGGCCCCCGTGAGCTGTCGGCTCCTGTTGGCCACAGAGGTCCAAGCTCTCTCCATAGCACTGCTTGTGCAGGTGTCAACAATTATTTCTCTCATTCTGCTCAGACACAGCCTCGATTCCAAGTCCCCCTCTATCTCTCACTGTGATCACTCCCCGGCCTCTGCCACCCCACCCATTGTAGAGCTGCTCTGCGGGGCAGGTGGACCTAAGTGGACTCAACTATATCAGGGTGTGACCTGTGGTAGGGCAGTCACCATCAGAGTTCTGGGATATGTCTCATGTGCTGTTTGAGTAAGCACCAACAGTAGTCACTGCCACCCCACCCAGGATCCATCCTGAGACTGGGTCACTTCTGGATCCCATGGCTGGATTTTCTCCCTGGTTGTGGCAACCTTAGATCCTGTGTCAAGGTGTGATGTGGAGTGAGTGAGGTTGGAGCCTTCACTTGGCTTGGTTGGAGCAAAACTGATGCAGCTGCAGGGAACCCGGCAGCCATTGGAGCAGTCTTCTACCCATCCTGTCCACTCTGCCTTGGGGGCAAGCCAGCGAGCATGCCCTCCTTATGAGTGGAGTTCAGCCTCCCCACTGTCTCACTGGTCCTCCAACCAGCCAAGGGGGCTTGTCTCCCCTGCATGGGACCCCAGGACTAGAGGATCCATCTATGGCTCTCGTAACTCATTCCCCTTGGTGGGTCTCTGGCCGTGTATCCTCTCTGAGTCCCCTCCCAGGGGCACAGGTCTGAACCTCATTGCTTTTCTTCCTTTCCTACTCAATTATGTGTGAATTTTTCTTACAGCCTTGGTTGTACAGGTTCTGCCAGTTTCCAGTTTGTTTCCAATTATTTTTCCACATGTAAATGTATTTTTGATGTGTTTGTGGGGGAAAGTGAGTTCCATGTCTTCCTGCTCTGCTATCTATTTTTTTTTAATTTTGTTTCTTTTTGGAGGAGATGGATGGGGGTAATTGAATTTTTACTTATTTGTTTAACAGAGGTACTGGGGATTGAACCTAGGGCCTTGTGCATGTTAAGCAAGAGTTTGACCACTGAACTATATTCTCCCCTTTACTCTGCCATCTTGATCTGACCCCTCATATGATCTTTATTGCAGCTACTCAATTGTGCCATCTTTCACTCAAATGCTGTAGAGTGCCCGAAGCCACAGGCAACATATAAGTGCACACATGTGGTGTCCCAGTGAAACTTCATTTATAAAAACAGAGCTGGAATGCATTTGGCCCATTGGCCATAGAATGCCCACCTCTGCATTGAACAGTCAAAGTATGAATTCAGCCTTTGAAAGGAAAAGGTAATGAAATGAGCATGGGTTTAAGCATTCAACATGAAATGCTTAACAAATGGAGCTGTCCAGCATCATTTTGGAATCTTCATGGCTATTATTTCCTGTAAAGTGCTCTGTTACCCAAGTATTATTGCTTATAGTTTGCCCATCAGGAAACTGAGGTACAAAGCAATTACATCATTTGCCTAAGGTCCCATTGCTAGTGAGGAGTTGGGGCAGAGCCAGGTGTCTGAACAGGTCTTTTAGGCTGGAGTTAGGGATCAGGCAAGATCTGAGTCTGAGCTGTCTGACATCAGCATGTGTAATTTTTCTGCTAAGATGAGAGTGGTAGAGGAGAATCTATGCTCTGGCTTCCATGCTGTGGCCACAAAGATATAACAATGGTTCTGGTTAGCTCTGTCTGACCCATGGGCCAAGGTGTTCTTTCCTCCCTGCTTGGTGAAGCTTTGTAAACCAGCATCATTCTATGAATTTCAGCCACACTGGGCTCCCCACCCTGCCAACATAGAGAACCAGGGACTAATGCATTCATAACTGAGTATTTCAGATCTTTCTTTCCCCCACATATAAACAAATAAATGATCAGCATTCAATATTCTAGTAACAAGGTTACTTTCCTGTTGAGCTGAAGATAAAGGATTTGAGGGGCTCCACTGGTGAAGAATTAAAAACATGAATCATAAGTTTAGTTGAGACAAAGCCAAGACACTAACATCTCATTCAGGAGAGGAAAACAGTGAGGCAGAGAGGCTAGCATTAGAAAGATCAGACATCAGGTAACACAACAGCCCTGGTCGATGACCCTCAGCAGAACGGAAATAAAAATGTAGCCCATACGTGTCTAGTTTGTTAATGGGGAGAGAAGACATATAATTCAGAAACCTGCTTTTGTTCCTTTTAAATCAACATGTTTCTGTTAAAATGGGACTTGAAGT